GTTTTAGCGTCGCAGTGAGGTATTTTCCCGAGCCGAGCGGCCAAAATTAAAGACAGGTTTATATCCTCTCTTTACAAAGAAATACGAGAGTGTAATATAACAATAGACGTTTACTTTGTACTACAAAATATTCGATTATCAAATGCACAAAAGGCTGTTACGAATAGTATCATTCAGCATCGTCTTACAGTTCCCTCGGCTAAGCAAATCGCGGAATTCGATCCGCGTTGCTAGGGGAAATACGAGGGAGATCAGCGATACGCCTTCGCAGAAACGATGAAAATACCTCGCGTCGGTCGTTCTCAACGGTGAGGCCCATTGATTCCGTGAGCATCGATACGCGAGTGTCTGGGAACCGCGAATGGTGGGTTAGCTTGTTCTTCCATTTACACGATGCCAGATTAAACCAGCCATTAAGTTGCGCGATCACGATTATCGAATAAAGGGATGATTTTATCGGGCCGATCGGCGATCAGGCTGTTCAGCTCCTGGATAACGTGAATTACCCTTTGTTCTACGCTGTACGGCGAAACACGTGTGTCTATACGCTCTTTAACCCCCCATTTTATTCCATCCCACGTTCTCGTTAACGTCTAATAAAAGTGCACACTGGATGTAATTCACTTGCATTATTATTTGCATACAAATTTGCTTCCATTGTGCTGTTAACTAACGCGCTCGGAAACGTACCGGGTGGATAAGCGGATAAAGAAGTTTCATGGAACAAAGGTTCAATTTGTCATTTTTCTCGCTCGACGCGTATATCACCGAAACAAACAGTACCGCGTGAAATATTGACCGATACCTCAACTTAAAACGCAAGATAATATCGAGGATCGTAAATTCCTCTCGTTCGCGAAAGGGTAATGGAATACATAAATCGATGGAATCCATCAATTCGCGCCTAGACACCCGATAACTGAAAAACATCGGGATACCCAGGGGTTCTGCGTAAACGCTTCATTTACATAAAGGTTATAAATTGTCGCATCTTCCTCTGCAGGAATTAATTCCTGTCTGGCTGAAGCCTTCTCAGGGAATTTCCTTCGTTTCCCGGTCCTCCGCATAGCGCACCGGGATATACAGGGTGTGCCAATCTTTAGAATATAATTTTACCGATGCATCCCACAAGCATCAATGAAAAATGTAAAAATTTCAGGACGTATACCTTCGTATTGGATTTGTATCTATATTATCACGATTCCTTAAATTTTCTCGCAGTCGTTACGAATCAAACACATCAGTTACACCAAAATCACTAAATTTCACTTTCAAAAACGGTAATCATTCACCAATTCGACATAAATCTTCCATTGCCCACATTCGCTTGACAATCTCTAAAGAAAAAGCTCGTTATCCTCGCAGAAAACACCGAAAAGCATTCCTCGCCCATTAATCATTATACACACCTTAATCCTAGAAAGCGTACCAACAGAATCGAACCGTTGAAACCACCGTGTCACCCGGTAGACAGAAACCCGTAGCCATAAATACAGAATTTATCCGCGTCCACGTTTTCACCTCGTCCGCGCGAGGTTCCCTATCCCGGGCCCATAATCGAGCGATGTGGATTTGCGGGCTAGCGTATCCTCCAGCCGTCCTATCCCGAACTTCGTTACTCGCAGTAATTTCCTTATCTCGTCGCTTGCACTTTCGACGAGCGTAACGAATGGCAAACATCGACAAAGGGGCGTCCCCTACGCCGCCCATCCGGCCGCCATTCCGACGCCCGGGCGAAATTTCGCAGCTTCGAAGAAATTGCATTTCGCGCGGAATAGGCGGCGCCAGGAATCAGAAATTGCTCGATCAGTGTTTGCCCCGCTCTTCCGGTTCCCCGGCTGCCCGATGGCTCTCGCGGGACCGAAACTTCTCCTCGCGATCTCGGCCCAATTAACGCTCCCGGCAAATTGTCTGAAATCGAATTGTCGCTCGGACTCCGCCGCCTCTGTCTCCGGGACACGCGAGCCTCGTCGAAAGTTCGACGCTCCGGGCGATGGTATTAATAATGCGGGGAAATCTTTCGCAATACGGATAAGCCGAGCCGAGTCAGGGACGCGTGAAGGAACCGGAATGGAAACGATCGGGAAAACTCGCGAGAGAGTCTCGCCGTCGGATTTGCAGAAATCGTTTTATCTTCTTAGGCGAACGAGTACGCGGTTCTTTGAGATCGTCGGGACGGTTTATCGCATTGAAGCACCGAGGATGTTTTATTTAGAAAATCAATTCGATTAACTCTGAATACTCTAGAAAAGAGGAAGACCAAATATCGATCTCCCGTTATTTGGATAGTCAAATTATTCACAGCTCATCGTTTTAGCACAGCACGAAGTCGCCTATTAAGATGCTCGGCGAACTTCTTTATCCTCGAAACATGATGTTCCAGAGGAAAACGGGATCCAATATTTCCGAAACGTTGCGCAACACGCATCCCCTAAATCAAGCTCACGGGGTATCGGGGAGCAGTTTGTCCGGATCGCTTCCGCGATTAAGCCGTAGGACTACCGTAACGGCGCTTAAACCCGGCTCGCGCGCTAAAGACCAATTAGACGGAGGCTTCTTGTTAGCGTCGTCGAGTCGCTCGAGGTGTAAACTATCGTCGGAGGAGTGCGAACAGAGGGTTGCAATAAACGCGACGATCGGTGATGGCCATATCTTTATTCGAAGACGTTAGGTCGCCGGCCGGTGAGCTTAGAGCCTAACAGCGGTTTTTATTGCCTCCGCGGTGGGGACCGTGTAATTGATGGCCAGTAAATGGACGGATTTCGACGGGCGAGCTAGTTCAACACTTTATTTATTACATTTTATACGAGCCGCGTGACGGGATTCCGTCGCACCCCGCGGCTCGCGTAAAGTGTAATAAATAAAGTGTTGAACTGTCGTGCCCGTTGGATTCTCTCGGTCAGTTGTCGTTCACGTCAATTAATAGGCGACGGCCGATGCGTCTTGCAAACAGTACGTTCCTGTTGGACTGCCGGGATAACTCGAGTCGTAATTGGCGACGTAATTGCTGTAGGCCTGGGGCAGGACCACGTATTCGCTGTTCGGCGAATAGTTCTCTTGGGCGATCGGCAGTTGATAAACTTGCGCCGGCTGCTGCACGTTCAGCGGCGTCACCCCCAAGCCAGACGTCGCGTCGTTGCCGTTGTAGATCACGTAGCCAGCGTTCGAGCAGGTGCAAGGGTAACCGTCGCCTGTCGCGAAGTTCCGATAATGTAGGTGCGGCCTGTGTTGATGTATGTGATATACCGTCTTAATATTGTGCTGCCTCGACTTCGAGCCTACCAGCTCCTTGTCGTCGCTTAGCTCGGGGTTGCTGGCGTCTCGGAACTCCTGGAAGGTGGAGGTTTAGTATTTTGGTCTGATTAATCTTTATCAGGAGTATCACTACTAGAACTACCGAAGAATCGAATTGACTTTATTTAAATCCCTCGTAGAGATTCGAAGCATTTGTTGCCTCAATGGTTGTAGAAAAGAAATCAGGAATTAGTCAATTTTACTGGTAGTTCTAGTGTTGATGCTGAAATAATGGCGAAGTTTATTTCGCTGTTATTTATATCGTGGCCGGTAACGAGGATCCAGCTCAATCAATCGATACTCTATTAACTCCAACTAACTCTCAGTTTCCAATATCCAACAATGGACTGTCCTCTCTCTAGGTTTCCAATAAATAATCAAACAGTAATACTCACTGCGGAGTTCTTCGATTTATTGCGGTCGCCCTGCGTCTCCGTCGACGACTGGGTCGCGTCCGGTCTAGGGTCAGGGAAATTCCTTTGTTGGTCTCGCACGGTGGTCTGCGACGTTCCACTTTGCTGATAGGCATGTCGCAGCAGCGCGGCGTTCTCCAAATCGACGGGATTCATTCTGGGAATTGTGTTCTGCGCTGAAGTTGCGGCTTGACTCTGCGGCATCGCTTGTGTCTGCGTCGTAGACCGAGTACTTATTTGGGACAGTATCTTTGGGGGCTCGCTGATCGTTTGCTGGTAGGTTCTGAAGGCGGGATCCGCGACCTGGTATTGATTCTGTACGGGACGCATGTTCGCTGGATTCAGGCCTAACAAGTTTGCAACCAAACCTGTTTGATCGTTTTTACTTTGACGAACTTCCACGCGTTTTTCTGTTGAACAGAATAATTCCATTACCGATGAGGTTTTTCTTTGTGCTTGGTGCAGCTATGTTGTCGTTCGAAAGCTTCCTACCTTCTCCGCCTTGA